TTTTATTCATTTACCTATTGTATGAAAGTTGAACAACATTGTATAAAAATTATATTTAAGTGGTATTATATTGTAGTTGTATATAACTTAGTAAAAATAATGTACGAAAATTGTAGATAAGTTGTATAATATATAATTAGTTGTATGAAATTTGTTTTTACTATGTATAAATCAGAAACAAAATATACAAAAGACATATTGTATAAATTTTGTATAAAATTTGTATGTAAGTTTATGTTATTGTAGTTGTGTTTAACTAGTAAAAATAATGTGTGAAAGCTGTAAAAAATTGTAGATAAGTTGTATTCTTCTACAATGGGAGATGTTGGCATATCAAGTAACTTTAGTGTTCCAAACGAACATGCATGAAAATAAAGATAAATTCTGTTATGAACAAGTTTGTAGAAATTTTGTAGATAATTTGTAGAAACATTGAAATTCTATATTTTCATATTAATTTTTCAAATGATATGTAGTTTTATTGTAGAATAAATGTAGAAATTTTGTAAATATTGTGAAAATCCATACTGATATACGCCATAGTTAAATGAATAAAAGAATACAATTTTATGGTAGTAAATTGTGCATCCGCACCTCATGCTCAGTTTTGCAAAGTCAAGAAGACATTTTGTGCATCCGCACTCAACTCACGTAACTTTACAAATCCACAAGCAACTAGAAAATTGGTCATGTGCCTCACTTTACTTTACAATCCTCAAGCAACTAAATAAATGGTCATGTGTCTGGGTTTTGACTATAGCAACTTGATCAATAGATGAAGCACAACCTAATTTCAATTCCTCAATTATGTGTCCCCGAAAACAAGCCATTGTGAATCTTATTTGACTCATTCCTCACATTCAACATATTCTACAAATTCACGCCTATTTAAATACAATACAACCATACTTTTTTGAATTTAAAGGTATATCAATATATATAACTTAAAAACATATTTTCCTCTGCACAAGTTAGCTCCAAAACAGACGAAGTGGAATAACAAGCTCCCATCAATACTTTTAACACAAAAGCACAAAGCTCAAAAATAAATAAACAACAGAATATATTTTTTCTACAATTTCTGCAATATAATGTTTGTCATTTCTTCTTCTTCTTCTTCTTCTTCGAGTTTCAATCTGAAATTCAGCCAAAACCAACTCTAATCTTTACCAAAACCCCTCAAAATTGAGATATAAACTCCAAACCAGATTCCCAATTATTTGCAACAACACCCAATCCAAACAAATAATGATTTTTGAAAATCCAAATTCGAATTCAAAGCTTCAAAACTTTTTAATGGCTATCAATGGTGGAATCGCTGCTCTCTTTTCCTTTCTTCTTATATTACTGAAATTTGGGATTGAGAGATAGAGAGAGACGTAGAGAGAATTCTCGATTCTTTGCAACAACATCCAATCCAAACAAACAATGTCTTTTGAAAATCCAAATTCAAATTCAAAGCTTCAAAACTTTTTAATGGTTGTCAATGGTGGAGGGGTTACAGATTTCGTTGGTTTTAGAAGAGGAAATCGTGGGTGATTGAAGAGAAAATCGTGGGGATTTAGAGAGAGAAACTTGGGGGAGTGGTGGGAATATACGATTGAGTAAAAATAGGAGACTAATTAATACCATTAAAATACTAAAATGGTACATAAATGGTAATTAGATATATAGAAGGTAATTATATTAAAAGTTAAGCGTGGAGGGTAATATAGTTTACTATATGGCATAAGAATGTAAAAATCCTACCTATGCAGCCCAAACTATTTACCCGGCCCACTCATTAGCTATTTGCCTTCTCATTTGAAGTCAGAATGTTAAAAACATTCAACTTTATTTTTGCAAGCTTACCCGGTAGTGGACTTGAATGGATCTACTTCTTCTCAACCAGATCGATATTTATTAAGAGAGTCAACCCAAGCTATTGCTTTACCTCATTTCCTTATGATTTTTGTGTGTGTATGAAGACCCACCATTGTTGAGCTTGAAGACCCACCATTGTTGAGCTTGAAGCTCCTGAATTTGATTTTTTCTTGAAGATTTATTGTTTGATTCGATGTGGGTGCTATAAAAAATTGCTTATTAACCTTCGAGTAAGCTTCTCAAATCTGAATTTTTATGTGTGTATGAATATCCATCATTGTTGGCTTGAAGCTCAATTTTTATTTTTGAAGATTTCTTATTTGAGTCAAAGTGGGCGTTATTAAATATTGCTTGTAGTACCTTCTGGAAGTTCATACTAAAATTTGATCACATTTGAAGTTGATTTGAGGTGACTGAGATCAAATCTTTCAGCTGAAAATCGAAGAAGAACACAATTACCTAGTAGTATACTGCTATGGTATATAATAATGATGTAGGAGTATATAAGCTATATTGCAACAATATACTATTACTGCAACGGTATATGGTAATAATCGAAGAAGAACGTAGTTACCTAACAGTATACCATTACGGTATACGATATACTGTAGGAGTATATAGTTATAAAACAGCTATATACTATGATAGTATATAATTATATTGTAATAATATACAATATAGTGCAACCGTCTGCTATAATAGTATACAATATACCATAATAGTATACCATTTAATGTAATAGTATAATGTTGAATGAAGAACATAAAATATGTTGTAATATTATACAATATACTATAATAGTATACTTCACCTGCTATTTATTAAATCATCTGGGTGCTATTGTAGAAAGCTAAAATCGTAGTGATAGTCCAAGTTTTGTTGCTGACAATTAAAAAACAAAAATTGTCCACCAATGAAGAAGCATTGATTTGAGAATTAAAAGCTTAATATAGTTAGTTAGATTTTGAATTTGGATGAGTATTATTAAAGCTTGTTAAAAATGCTTGTAAAGATTAACATTGAAGTTTAAGTTCATTTAGAATTGTTTTGAAGTGGGTTTGGTGGTTCCACAAAGTTAATAACCTCGATCAAAGAGATAATTGTCGATCCTCTTAACAATTAGATTGCAATCCGAAGAGTCATTGGCCACGTAAATATTGATTCGTCTTTTTGATAGTATGCCGAATATTCTTTTCACAAAGAAGTGTTTAAGTTAAGTGAAATTGGGGATGGGTAGGGTCGGGTAAATAGTTTGGAATAGGTATAAGCGGGTAAATATTTTAGGTTGTGTGGGTAATTATGAATTTATCCCATTAATATTTAGGGAT